TAGGGAAAAGTAAAAAGCTGGCTTCTAAAGCAACACAGTTTTTTAATGAGCGTGACACAGACTGAACAACAATGCTAGCAGAAATCCTACTTATCCATGGAGTCAGTGGAGTCTGGTCAGCTGCCTTGTCAATGTGTCTCAACCCAGACGGTGGGGACACTCCCTTAATAGCTGTGCATGAGGTGCGTAGGAAGTCTTTGGCAGCTTACCTCCCAAGTGGCACATAAATCTGTCTTATGATACACAAATTTTCCATCTGCAGTTAAAGGGTAGGTTACATCTCCAGGCTGAAAAATAAAAAAACCCATGGTTTTCAACTTTCATTTCTCTGAAAATATGTTCCCTACAGTCTCTGTACCCCTACCAAGGAACAAAATCAGAGGCTTTCCATAACATTCTATGTTCTTAATAGATCATTTAGGCTGAGTTTGCCACATCCACCCTTTTAACAATGAGCCCCTTATTACTATAGTTCTGGTGTGCGCTTTCTGAAATATTTGACTCACATGGCTATGCACTAAAGTTTCCACAAGAGCCTCATTTTGAATTATGCCTCTGATGCCTGGGGTCACAAGTGTGCACAACATTCAAGGGACCAGTTCCTTCTCAGGTCATTAGTTGTACAGTGAAACATCCCCTCACTGACTACCACAAAATTCAAATTCCCCTTGAAGGGTTACATATTTAAGGGCATTGAAGAACAATGCCACCAATCATTAGATACTGCAGGTTACTGATGGACCAGTTCAGAGTCATGCTACTACTAACAGGTATTCTTAGTTTTTGATATATCCTACCACGTACTATTTGAGTTGTTTTTTCAAGCCTAGGTCTGGTGGATAAGTGTACAGCTTTGTTTCATTTGTTGGCCAGCCTGTAGCTGCTACACACAATATTTAGAAATTATACTCATTTGTATGATGCTAAATGCACTTTATTTTCATACATCCCTTGTGTGGCAGCTGATACCTAATAGAACTTCAGCTGGCTACATTTCAAAGGAGGGAGTAACATATGTCAGCAAGGCAATTCCTTGGGAATATGTAGCTGTGACTAATGAGATCAGACTGGCGCCACCATACTCACTCAAAATGCCTTGTAGTTCAACTTATCTTATGTAGAAATAAATCTCTGGTACAATACATAATCACATTTCAGAGATTGGGGTCAGATGTAGAGTTAAATGCAGGATCCTTTCAAAAAGGAGCAGAATTTCTCAAAACAAGCCCCATTAGGCAGGGCTATTGTTAGCTCAGCAACTATGCCTTGTTGGGAGAATCTTACACTAGCCAGAAGGAAAAATAACACTTTTGGGGACCTTTTCTACATCGCAGATTATAGGAGGAAGTTGTTGGGGGGGTAATAATTAAGAAGTGAGACCCTAAACATTTCAGGATTTTAGGATGCCTCACTCCAAAGTTTAGGGAGTTCTACATGGACCATTATAATGATAAGGATCAGATATGAATATAGACAGCTGCTCCAAAGTTCACAGGTTGGATCTGAATCCATGTTTTTTGTTCAGTGCCATATGTCTTTTCCTAGGATAAACTTTAATGCTTAGCAGAAGTTTACAGCTTCCAAATTCTTAAATGTGCCCCATTAGCATCTCAGATATTCCCTCCAGATTACCCATCCTTCTAGTATTCACATTTAGAAAGAAAAGAAAAAATAAGATTCAGTTATAGGTTCCACGGTGCCCAGCATTCCACCTGGCTGGCTGGCTGTACTTGAGGCCCTTCCTGCAGTTATCTTAAGATACCACAGAGTATATTCTTGGTGTGGCCATATTTATGTAAAAAAAAAAAGAGTCCTGTCTCTAACAGCTTCATTAGCAATCCAGCCTAGGCTGTAGAACTCTTTGTCAGAAGAAATACAGCCTACAAATCTCCCTAATTTAAGAACAAAGTTTCAAAAGCTGTTATGCCTCATCCAAGCAAAAGTCTCCTATTCTGCTCTAAATGTTTTGTATCTGTAGACTCCTAGGGTTGGAATAGATCTCAGGGGTCATCTGGTTCAAAC